GATGAAATAAACCTCATTAAATCAAACGTGTGATCGATAAGGAAGAATCAATAGTGAAGAAGAAGCTACGAGGGAGTGACAATATCTATTACAACTGTTTAATATTGGCAGCCATCAGTAGGAGCGACTCACACTGTAAGGCCCTCAATGATCTTTGGAAATCCATTACTGCGCGTCAGAAGCAGCCCAGAGTGGAATTCGCCCGGCCAGTGAACCCCCGTCATCTTCTATATATATATTCCTTGTCTGAGAACGATACTGTGTCAGCTTTCTCTTCTTGCAGTGTGTTGTTGACGTTCCTTGGCGAGAGATGGTGTTTAAGGCAATGATGATAAGTCTTATGTGGTGTCCTTGATGTAATGGACCAGAGGCTTGAAGGCCGTGTTATGTATATTACGGTATAATGTTAAATAGTGAGACACGGGTAAAAACAGCAGCTGGTGGAGGTGGAGGAGAACGTGGTGGTGCTGGGTGAGATGTTGGTGGTGGAGGAGATGGTGGTGGTGGTGGTGGCGGTGGTTTAGGAGATGGTGGTGTAGGAGGTAGTGATGGAGGAGGCTAGGACTAGAAGGATGTAGCAACAGCGGGTGGTGGTGATGATGATGATGATGATGATGATGGTGTTGGTAATGATGGTGGTAATGATGAAGAAGTTAGTGACATAACTAACCAAACAGTATATCTCTGGTACACATACTTCCTATCTACCAAGCACCATCATTACCGTAATAATACACAACACACATCTAATTTCTGCATCACATTAAGATCATCTGCATGTATGAGCAAGACCCTTGTACTAACACGCACACAATACACAACCTTCCTCACCATTAAGACGAATACTGAGAAACACAAGCGAGGAAACGACCAAATCCAACACCGTCTCTTCCTCTAGGTCAAGGTCTTCCTGCTAGTAAACCTGTGCTAGATTTTGCCGAGGCCTCAGAGGGACTCGTGCACCCTGGTGAAATGATGAAGTTCATAGTGGGAACCTGAGCCTCATCACAGTTGGAGTGAATGGTCCAACGAATCACATAACTAACCTCTTTCCTCAACGATTTATGGCCGGTCCCTCGTTGTGAGCAGCCCTGGGTTGGACATCCAAGATCAGACACGGAATATAACTGAATCTCGACCCACGATTTACGCAGAAGACATCAATTTGACTTTCTGGATGCTTTAATATTGAATCAACCGGGGTTTTTCTGTAGCTCTCATCTACAAATTATTACACTGAAATATACAGTAACTTGATTGGTTGATGGAAAGTGTTGAAACTGTGAAGCTGCTGTAGAGAATGGCTACGATGTGTTATAATTCAACAGAAGAGACTAACAAAAGCTGCTGCTGGGCTGTACACTCTTAATTACATTTCCCTAAACGCTTCATGTCTAGTTGTTAAATGCACTGTACACACAAGGAGGCTTTCAATGCTAATCCTTAACACTCTCACGAATGCTTTAGACGACACAGGAATGGAATGTATTCAACAGAACCCATCGAAAGTAGAGGTTTTCATTCCTTGGTTGTAGTGATGATACTAGATGATTTTAATGCTAATCTATTAGGTTAGGATAGGTTAGGTTAGGTTAGGTGTATAGATATGCCCTTGTAGACAAAGTGACTCGCTATAAGGAAAACTTACCTCAAACAGCAATAATCCAGTGTTGGAAATACCTGACCGTGTGGGCAGTCATAGAGCGAGATACCAAGAACAAAATCTGCCATTCATTCAGACTCTAGACTTAGCAGATCACCGACAACATCCCAGGAAGACTAGTTAATGATGCAGGAGATGTGACGGAAACATAATATGGAGTTAGTCCTGTGTTCCTGCAAGAGATGTGTTCTTGACGGCTGTGAAATTACTACCAAGTTGGTCGTCGCTCAAGGCAGCGCCACCCTGTCATAGATCTAATCTACAATAAACTTAATCTGAATACAAAAAGTACTGCTTAATGGACGGAAAAAGTCGTCATTTTAGCCTTCCATCAGAACCTACTGGTCAGGTTCACCTATTATGTGATTGTACTCTCTATGAAAGGCATGACTACCCATTAGGGACCGATTCACTTACCCAAGTTGTAACAGCTGGGTGAACTAGGAGTGCCCGGGATTGAACCACCTACCCATGAAACACTCGCTACTTTCCATAGACCAAAAATTGTACACAGAGACCACAGTATGGTACAAACTGTGTTAATCGACCCTCAGGACGGCCGGAACAGTCTGGATTCCCATCGGATATGTCCATGATGGGTTAAATTTACAGGATTGTACTCGAGTCAGTATTTTGAAAACAAACATTTTTTTTCCCTTCTGGTGTATTTCATCAATTTAAACCGTTTGTTTCATAATGTTATAAAGCGTAGTACTGCCTTCGGGTAGTTGGAGTATCATAAAAACTGACGCGACTCCTGAACATTCGTCACTGCAGCAACAAAACACAAAATCGCTGGAAAATGTTCAGACGAGCTCCTGACCCTGACTGGCTACTGAGAACGGTGAGCTGAAGTACTGATCCCTTTACGGTGTGTTCCTTGGCTACCTTTTGTATAACTGTACTAGAGTCAATATGTAGCCGAGTCCCGTCTGCTGGAGGCTGTGAATATCACCAACACTTTGTTTGTGGAAATAACTGAGAACATTCCTGTCACGGGTTTGTCGCCGCTTATTTTCTAATTTACTAAATAGTTCCCAGCGGACAGCACACTCATGCAAGTAACCACATCTGTGTATACCTGTGTGATACAATGTTGATGAAGAGTTACACAAACATAATTACTTCCGGTTATCACTGCAAAGTCACATGAGAGGGGGATGGGAGGTGGGAAGGGGGTGAGGGAGAAGTGAGGGGAAGGAGAAGGAGAAGGGGAGGGGGAGGGAATGAGGGCCATAACCAGTGAGAGAGCCTGTTCACGTTCTTCTATGTTATTGGTTACACGTCATCCAAAAAAGTTGAAAATAATCCAACCTTACAGCTTAAACACACACACACACACACACACATCCTAAAAGTGTTCCATCGCCAACAAAAGGATTAAACTATCGACAATAACGTATAAAACTAAGATAAATCACGTAAGTCATCCATAGTCATACAAAGCTACACCCTGGCCCATATTAGGCACAAGTTAACCATTCAAGTCCTGTGGGAGAGTGTGGTAATCGTCGACCTACAAAACAAACAAAACTCTGCCCCAGATGACATTGTTATTGTTAGCAGAAAAAAACAAATGAATAAAGTTTCTCCGTCTATTGTTTTTTGTTGTTGTTCTGAACTTAATGGTTTTACTCCCTAGGGATGATTCTGAAGGTGGTGGTGACAGTATGAGGAGGGAGGAAGGGATTAATGGAGGGAAGGAGTGGGGGGGGAGGAGGGAGGGAGGGGGGGAGGGACAGACGGACGGACGGAAGGACAGAGGGAAGGAGGGAGGGAGAGAAGGAAGGAGGGAGAAGAGGGGAGACAAAAATGGCCACTCTCCCGTTACGAACGAAAACTACTGTACAGTACAACTACGTAACTATGGGTTGCGACTGGTAATTTATGAACTGTTTTTAAAGTCAATTTATAATAACAATAACTACATCAATAACAATAACGAAATCACATTAATAATAATATGAAAACATTTATAAATTAATTAATATGTAAATAAATTAATGCAACTGAAACAAATCAGTCGCAAAAATGTATAAAAAAAAATTCCTATATATATTTTTTCCTGAATTTGATTATGGTCAAATTATTTAATAGAAACGAATAATAAATAAAATATTTGTGATCATAAAAAAATACAAAATTTTGTCATAGTCGACGCTCAAAAATATTCGTGGGCCATATATTGAATTTTGAGTTCCCATGGTGATGACGACGCGAGTTGTGTAGATAATGTGGTGGTGTGGTGAGGTAATGTGGTGGTGTGGTGAGGTAATGTGGTGGTGTGGTTGGTGTGTGGTGAGGTGGTGTGGTTGGTATATGGTGAGGTTGTGTGGTGGTGAGGTGATGTGGTAGAGTGGTGAGAAGGTAGTATGGTGTTGTACTGCTGTAGTGAGGGACGAAAGGTGGTGGTGATGGTGAGATGGTGTGGTGGTGAGATAGTGACGTGTGATGAATTAGTGACGTGATGAAATAGTGGCGTGATGAAATAGTGGCGTGATGAAGTAGTGACGTGATAAAGTCGTGACGTGTGATGAAGTAGTGGCGTGATGAAGTAGTGGCATAATGCAGTGGTGACGTGATGAAGTAGTGACGTGATAAAGTCGTGACGCGATGAAGTAGTGACGTGATAAAGTCGTGACGTGATGAAGTAGTGACGTGATAAAGTCGTGACGTGATGAAGTAGTGGCAGGGTGAAGTAGTGGCGTGATGAAGTAGTGACATAATGCAGTGGTGACGTGATGAAGTAGTGACGTGATGAAGTAGTGACGTGATGAAGTAGTGACGTGATGAAGTAGCGACGTAATGAAGTAGTGACGTAATGAAGTAGTGACGTGGTGAAGTAGTGACGTGATGAAGTAGTGACGTGATGAAGTAGTGACGTGATGAAGTAGTGACGTGATGAAGTAGTGACGTGATGAAGTAGTGACGTGATGAAGTAGTGACGTAATGAAGTAGTGACGTAATGAAGTAGTGACGTAATGAAGTAGTGACGTGATGAAGTAGTGACGTGATGAAGTAGTGACGTGATGAAGTAGTGACGTGATGAAGTAGTGACGTGATGGGTTTGACGGTGAAGTAGAGACGAGGATGTAAAGTAGTAGTGAAGATGTAGGTGAGGCAGCTGTGTGGGAAGACGTTACTCGTAGGACTGTATAGCAGGTCCTGGCCCCTGCGCCTACACGGCTCGAGGTCAGCGACGGACTGTAGGAGGTGGTGTGTGTTATCCGGGGACGGTGATGGTGGTGGATGACGCAGGCGCAGCAGGAGGAGGTGAGCGGGGCGGCGGCGGTGGTGGGGGGTGAGGCAGCAGACGGGAGTCAGTCGGCCACACACAGCCACAGTAGCACAGCCTCGCGCCGCCCTGTACCTGAGCCATACTGTATACCTCAACTGTGGCGCCAACACTCAGATAGAACACCTTGTGGCCCCGGGGACTGATGGTGTTGTGTTGTACCTCAGGAGAGCTGCCGTGTGAACTGTGTATAGTGTTGGGATGATCGGTGTGAAGAAACTGTGTTTAGTATGAATATATGACAGATAATTACCTCAATTATTATATATACATTATGTACACATACAGCCTACGTGTGTATATATATATATATATATATATATATATATATATATATATATATATATATATATATACAGTATACTGTATTAGGCGTAATGTATGATATATTGCCGAAGAATAGTTTTATATTTGTCATTGTGCAGGACATGAAATATACGTTAAGTTTCGGAGAGTGTAGAGTGAACTATAGAAACTTTGTGTCAACCAAAGGAACTTGAAAGCATCTTCCACACACACACACACACACATATATATATATATATATATATATATATATATATATATATATATATATATATATATATATATATATATATGTGTTTGTGTTGTGTATGTGGGTACAATAACAGCCCGGGAACAGTGTACAGTACATCAGCCGCTGTACTCAGGGACAACAACGCCGTTGATCACAAACTTCACCAGATTTTTCTCGGTTAACATTTCATTCAGTTTCACGGTCGCGTTAAGATGCGAGCCAGGCTAGTGGACGATACACATCATATGCGTTGTACTCCCTTGCTCTCACCCTCTCACCCTCTCACCCTCCTCCCTGCCACACTTTCTCCCTTCCTGGCTGAGCCTCTCTCCCTCCCTGCAGTTACCAGAGTAATGTATTCTGTTAATGTGTAGTTGCTGGTGACTAGCGTGTAAACTAATCCATAGGGCGCACGTAAACCCTTGTGTGTACTGAATAAAATCGTCCAGTGTTAGACCAATAAAACATTAAAGTGTCGTCCTGTAGTGAAGGGGTTAAGGCACATAGTTTATTAAAACGTAGAAGGACATCACAACACCATCAGCCTCCCTGCCCGACTCTCTCCCTCCCTCCCTCCTTCCCTGTGTAGTTCCTTAGTTCCTCCCCTTGTCTGCTGGCTTCTTGGTGGTGTTCTCCTTCCCTCCCTGTATCACATCTTAATTAATTGTCTTCCTTCCTGTCTGTCTGTGTGTTGGGATTCCTTCCTAGTTTTTACCTGAAATTTCCGCCTTGCGTACCTTATGAACGTCTCCCTGTGTGGTAACTGGATTTCCTCCCTGTCAACCATTTAATCTCCTCCCTTAGTGTTGTTTTCATTATTTCCCTGCGTATCATCACCTTTTTCTCTCCCTGTCTGGTCATTGATACACTCCCTTCCCGGTCTCTTGCCTTTCTACCTACCCAAATATTTCTTCCTTGTCCTTTCCTTCATCTTCTCCATATTTACCATCTTTCCTCCCAAACCCCGACTCTTGATTTTCTCCCTGCCAGACTATTTTGGTCCCCAACTTACGTGTCATTTTTTCCCCGCCTGACACTATCTTTCCCTGCCTTCATCTTGATTTTATCCCAACTTACCATCTTGAAGAATTTCCCCCCCCCCCTGTATGTCATGTTGATTTTCTCCGTGTGTGTGTGTGTGTGTGTTTCATTTCAATTCTTCCCCTGCCTACCTCTACCTCCCTACCACCCATCCACCCACCCTCCCTACCACCCATACCTCCCTACCACCCATCCATCCACCCTCCCTGCCACCCATACCTCCTTTACCACCATCCACACCCTCCCTGCCACCCATACCTCCTACCACCCATCCACCCACCCTCCCTGCCACCCATACCTCCCTACCACCCATCCACACACCCTCCCACCACCCATACCTCCCACACCCATCCACCCACCCCTCCCTACCCACCTCCCCACCATCCACCCACCCTCCACCTCCACCACCCATCCCACACCCTCCCTGCCACCCCTACCCATACCTCCCTACCACCCATCCACCCACCCTCCCTGCCACCCATTTCTCTTCTCTCTATTATTATCTGTTGTTGTTTTTCTCTGCATAATAGTCAATGATTCCAACTACTGCCCCGATTGCTTAATCAATTGCCTACCTGACCTACCCCGTGTGGTTCGGTCTGTGTGTGTCGATCTCAATCTGTCTGCTTATCTGCTTCAGTGGTTTCCTGCTTGTCTGCTTAAAAATAATTCTGATACCCTACTTACCTATCTGATTGTATTTGTTTTAGTTTTCTACCTACTCGACTAGTTTTAATTTTTTTCTGCTTACCTGCTGAGTGGTTTCTGATTTCCTGCTTGCCTGCTCATGCGGTTTCTGATTTCCTTACCTGATCGACTGCTTCTGATTTCCTTCCTGCTTACTTTACTTATTTCTAATTTCCCTTCGGCTATTATTTCCCATCTTCCTCAGTACCCTGTGCTTGTTTGCTTGCTACCTTCCCACCTGTCACATTCATACACTCCTGCCTGCCTGCCTGCTTCCTCGTGGTACTTGACGGCTATTACCTCCTACTAGTGCTTGCCTTCTGCTTGTTCCCTCCTTCTAGTGCTTGCCTTCTGCTTGTTCCCTCCTCCCTGTTTTGTTTACTCTCCTCTCCTTTTATTTTGCATGCTTTTGTTCCTTATAACTCTTTGTTTATTAACTTTTTATTTATTTATTGCTTGTGTACTTCTCTCCCTCCGTGCTGTTTATCTATTCTTCTATGCTAAAATTATCTACGTTCTTCTCTGTTTCTCTTATTTCTCCAGGTTTTTCTTTCTTCTATCTTATCTAAATTACTTTTCCTTCTCTGCTCCTCGGTAGTGTTATTGCTTGCTTGCATTCCTCTCTTCCTCGTTGCTTTCCCCTTTGCTTTTATAATTATCTCTATCTTTCCTTCCTTCCTTCCTTCCTTCCCTTGTTCTTTATCCTGGATATTTTACTCCCTCTTTCAGATGTTTAGTTTTTTACATTCATTTGTCGTTCCCTTACCATCTCTCTCTCTCTCTCTACCTATCGCCTCTCACGTCTGGCTTCTCCCTCTATCCCTCACAATGCTCGACTACTCTAGGTTCCTCCTCTCTCCTCCCATTCCCCCTGTTGTTTCGTTTTTTCTCTCTTCACTTTCCCCACTACATTCTTTAGCCACTAGACTTCATGCTCGACTTCCAAGAAGATTATTCTCCCCTAATTGACTTATCACATGTCCGAACCAAAGCTTAATTATATACCATTAAGTCTTGTGTGCAGTACGCCAAATTAGCGGAGTTTCTTTACAGGCCATAGGATAGGGGTGGGTTTACTCGTATTGTCAATTAAACAGTAGGTGATTTAAATAAGGATAATTACAACGAGGGATAAATAATATTATCCTTATTATATGGAGGGGGTCGGGGATGAAGTGATATGTCTATGTTAGTGGAAAAACAAAACAAATACTTATTGTGATTCTCCTACACAGGTTCACTTAAAATGGACTCGATTTGTCCAGCTTTCAGTATGGCTAGTACGTCCCTCAACTCGGTGTGACCTCCATCAGCCAGCTCTTGACTGCGTTATGCGCGATGTGAAGTGTTGACGCAGAGTGTACGTGTGTGTTTGCTTGTCTTAGTGGAGTGAACACATTGACTTGAATCCTCTACCCATTACATATACCTGCATATATATCTTAACAAACATAATAGAAATATATAAACGACTGGATGGGATAGTTTTGTGATTTTTTTTTTTTACTTGGGAAAAAACGAGGTAAAACAGATTATAACTGTTTGTGAATTGTATTAAAAAGACACTCGGCCATTGTAATTCTTTTTTCTTTTCTTTTTACAGTTAAATGAAAGGCCACAACATACAGTGACAGGAAAGTGAGGTGTTGGGGAAAATTCATGACAAGTCTGTAAACATATGATCTGTCGGCTCTTAGTGACAAGAACAGTGCCATCCTTTAGCGGCGAAAACAGTGCCATCCTTTAGCGGCGAAAACAGTGCCTATCCCTTTAGTAACACTGAAAAGAACAGTGAACAGTGACTATCTGTTAGCGCAGTGACAAGAACAATGAACAGTGTTTATCTGTTAGCGCAGTGACAAGAACAATGAACAGTATCTAGCCGTTAGCGCAGTGAGAAAAAAACCCGGTAAACAGTACATATCCGTAAGCACAAGAGACGAGACTAGTGCCATTAATTTAGATCAATAATAAAAAAAACACTCCCATCCCTTAGTGCCAGTAACAGTGCCTAGCCGTGATCACCATAAAGGCTAACCAGCGCCTATACCTATCCATTAGCTCCCAGTGACAACATCAGCGTCACTCCTAAGTGTTAGTGACGTGAACAATATAATTTGTTTTTTTTTTGTCTATTTATCCCCATGAGAAAAAAAAAGTAAGGAAGATTGAGGACTCGAGACTGTGGACGCAGGTGGTAAGAATACTGTATCAAGGACCTGGTTGGTTTTAAACAGGGTACCGTCAGTAATGGTTGTGTGAGCGCCCGAGTCAGGCCCTCAACAACCTCCTCTTGTACTACCACCACCACCGCCGCCTCCTCCTTCGTCGTCATGCACACCCACCACCGCCCCCCAGGCCGTCCCCTTCTCCTCCTCCTCCTGCTCCTGCTCCTGTTGACCCTCCACCATGGTGAGTATTGATCTCTTCTCTCCTGCTTCCTCACTATGGCTGGATTTGTGATTTTATTTTTTTTTAAGGGGTGAGTTTTGGTTCATCTGTAATGATCAGTTTAGTGGGAATGTACCTTAGGAAAAATATACGAAGTGGAGAGAAAATTTTGTATGAAACTCAAGAGAAATGTTGTATCTGTGTCTTGAATTTTGTGTTTTTGATGAATTATTACGTAAAGAATCAGTATGTGGAAAGTTAATGTGGAATATAATTTAACGATAATATATGCAAATGTTTTACACGTAAGAATAAACAAAAAATCAATAAACAATGATTTAGATATAAAGTAAAATAAAATAAAAGCGAATAAAAGTTCTAAACAAACTGAATGAATAGAAAAAATAACAATAAAATATGTCAGATAAATTAATAATATGAAGAGTGAAAACAATCAAGCATACAATACTAAAAAGGAGCAAACAATAAAAAATAAAGCTAAAAATCAAAAAAATAAAAAAATCATAAAAACTAAAAGAAAATCGAAAAAAAAAACGAGATTTTTATTTATTTTTTTACTTTTTTGTATTTCTTTAACTCAGTCATTGTGTATTTTTTTTCTCGTACAAACTATCTGATCATGCTTCTTAATTCTGGTATTGTTTTGAAGTCGAGTGATAAGAATCAATAGGAAAAAAATATGAAAGATGAATATTAAAAGAGACACGAGGAAAACTTATGAAGGGAAATTCTTAAAAAAAAAAACATTGAAAATAAATACATTTACCTGTATATTCCTGAACACTGATGAACACTCACAAGATAAATACAAATTCGAGAAAATCTTATCACTCGCATAATTTACCACTCAAGGAGACGAATAATGAAGAAAATGAACACACAAATATGAACAAGTAAACATAAATGAACACACACACACACACACACATATATACACACACACACATGTGTCATCATACAATAATAACACCACGATAAATATTCTAATACAATGAGCATCAAATAAAAAATAAAAAAAATGGTACGAAGTGATGTGAATACTGAGAAACAAATAAACCAAACTTGTAAATTTGGGAGAAGATAAAACTAAAAACATATAATAAAAAAAATACAATGCAATCGATTCAAATATCAAACCCCTCTCTCTAAAAAAAAACAATAATAACAAACGAAGAATATTAAGTTTAAGAATACAGCAGAGAAGAATAATTACAGTACAGTACAAAAATACGACAATAGTCTTTTTTTTCAGGCCAAGAGTTGATGATGAGTGCAGACTACACACACACGCTATACACTGTAAACAAGGATAATGATCTGTTGACGAGATGGTGAAAGGTGAAGTTGTTTTTACCTTGGGAACGATCATCATTGAGAGAGAGAGAGAGAGAGAGAGATTGGGGGAAGGACCTGAAGGGATGGGGGAAGGGGAGGAGGGAGTGAGGAAGGGATGATAGGTTGATGGGACAGAAAAAACAATTTTTTTTTTACTCTCGACTTTGAGCTATTAATTTACCTTCATGGTTGTGTTCAGCGCGTGGATGATAACCTTCAGGTGTTATCATCCGGTGAAACTGATGAAAGAAGACAAAACAAAAGCCTGTCATCATGCACACCGTCAGCAGATCACAGTAGTATGATACAGACGAGAGCCGTATGAAAAAAAATCTAAATTGGAGGATAAAATTTCGTGTCGTGCGCCTCGTCACCAGCTCCAAAAGTCTTTATATGATTATGATGAGATTTGGAGGTGGGGCTGGTGCGTGCTGGAGCCCCGCTGTTCTCTTATTGTCTTTATGTTGCTACCTGGGTCCGCTAATGTGCCTCTCTCAGACCCATCTCTCAATATTAACTTGATTTCCCTGATAACTTTATGAAGTGCAAACTAATCTATCCATGTACACATTCATGCATTATATATTAACTTATTTACACGGTAGTACAAAGTGTACGCGGGATAAACACTAATTTTTCCTTGTAAACTCCAAAGAAAAAATAAATAGTAAATTCTGCTTGAACTTTTCAAAATGTGTTGATAGTACATGAAAGAGCTGAAGAAAAAATTAAACTTTCCGTTGCAGTACAGTACACACACACACACACACGTATATATATATATATATATGAGAGAGTATATATATATATGTATATATAAGGCAATGTTGCGTGTGTCGTGTGTGATGTGGGTACGTGCATGTGAACGTCTCATAACTTCGCCAGGTATAAGAATGGCAGACTTCTTGCCGAACCTTCCACCGAGTTTACCTGCAGGGGTGTGCGTCTCATCAGACTAATATGTAGTAGGCTCTCAGGGCATTATTGATGAGAGTCTCTATTCCCCTCCTGAATGGATTATTCGTTAAACAAATGGATCATTAAATTGCTCCATGGACAGTATAGGTTTTCGATAGTCAGAGAGGCGAGACCGAGAACACCAATAGTTCACTGATTTGTAGTTATGATTTTAAAACACATTGTCTCTACCGTCAGGCGACTCTAGTACACGGCGCTGTGATATAGACTTTCGATTATTATAATGAATCCAGATATTATCACTCAAAACATTATCTGATATTAACCAAATGATTTTATCTGATTCATTTATAATTATCATAATAAACACTAAACGCTAGACCGCCCCCATCCCCATCACCCCACCATCACCCCACCATCACCCCACCATCACCCCACCATCACCCCAACCAAAACTCCCAAACTAAATACAATCTACATACAGTAAACAATTTTCCCTTAAGTTACACAACACATATGTAACATCACTCACCCTCATCCCTCACAAAACTGTAACATAATCTTCAAGGATATTAAGTTACGGGAAATTACCTACACAGTGTCTTGCTTTATGCTGGGATCTTTTACGTATATAAGAAATGTATGTAACTACCACTTACTCCCATAATGTGGAGCGATATTACGAAGCAAAACACTGCGTCAGCTGCAACGTGATATTACACACCCGGGGAGTGTGTGTGTGTGTGTGTGTGTGTGAGTGTGTGAGTAAAAGGCCCTGTATACTCTCCCAAAATGAGTCTGAATATGCAAGGAGACAGACTACTTGGTTAAAATAGAAAAGTTACTAATACACACACACACACACCCACACACACACACACACACACACACACACACACACACAGACACACACACACATATCACCTACCTAGTAGTAACATCAAAACTTAAAACATATAACAATGTCCAATACAAATGACTGAAAAAAAAAAGAGAATAGACCTAATCCCCGTTGCTGGCTGCCAGATAGTACAATTCATCCCGTTGCATTGAATTGTTAATGAGGATTTACCATAATTTATGTTGGAAAAAAATGAAGCCCACATTGACTACACGGGCGGGGGGACACAAAACGATCAAGCGGATTTCCTGAAAAAGATTAAAATTTCTGGATTTTTTGCGGGTGGGGGTGGGGGTATTTTGAGTAGGTGTCTAATATTAATCCTCGACATGATAAACTCAGTATCTCCAAAAGTAAATAAATAAATAAAAAGAATAGCTCTCTCTCTCTCTCTCTCTCTCTCTCTCTCTCTCTCTCTCTCTCTCTCTAATATGACGAATTTAAGGCGATTTCGTCATTGTTTTTGCTCATTTTGTATCGTATAATATTTCACGTTATTTATGTTATCATAGTGGAACCTCAGCTGTAATGTCATGCTGTTATTTTCTAATATATATAAAGGGTTATATAAACTCCCGTAATATCACAGCAAGGCTCAATAATTAGAGCCAATATTTATGATACTGAGAGAGGGGGAGGGAGCAGAGGTGGGGCGGAGGGGGGTACGAAACAATTTGATTCATTAAGTAATTGCACTGGGGCGGGAGAGTCAATACGCATTGCCCGTCTCAAGGCACAGGGGAGGGGTAGGGGGAGGGGGGGTAAGGGGGTTGTAGGGGAGGGGGGGTAAGGGGGTTGTAGGGGGGTACGAGGAGTTAAGGGACACAAATTAATAGGGCCAAATTAGCCAAGATATCACTACATCAGCGGCCCGGGCCACTACATCAGCGGCCGGGCCACTACAAGAGTGGCCCGGGCCACTACAGGAGCGGCCCGGGCCACCTTTATGAATATTGTCCGTGTGTAGATAACATATGAAGACACTGATGTCACTAAAAGCTTAATTAAGGGATATTTGTGTAGAACTTTACTGTGTTGAGGAGAAATAAGAGACACTGATGTACACCAGAGAGGAAATGAAGGAAAGTTTATACGTTAATAACTTGGTGTTTCTGTGATCCATCCAACAGAAACTTAATTATTGGTAAGATCTTTCAACGATGACTAGTTTAGGTGACATATATACTGAAGCAACTCAACAAGACTGCCTGTACCATCTGGGATTTCAACAAACGTCTGGCAGTACTTCGTGAACTGGCAAAACATGACTCGGGGGGGAAAAACATATTCAGAAAGTCAGTCAGGAAAGGTGGGCTTAGTCCTGACTACATAAACGTGCAGAACTAAAGGTACTTAGCTAACAGTAGATCATCTCTGGTTAAATTGGGGGCCATTGTTCCCGAAACTCTTGTATTCAGATGCCCAATATTTGATCAGGTTGTCTCAGTTTTGGTCATTATGCCCCAACTTTGATCAGGGAGTCCCATCTTTGATCAAGGTGTCTTATATCTAATTATGGTATCCTATATTTCATCAGGGTGCCTTATAATTGATCAAGGTGAC